TTCTCACATTCAGAAACCTCTGAGTCAGAAGATGGGAGGTATGGTATCAAATGGTTCTGAGATTCATTTTTGACTCTATCACTTACTTGCTTTGTGTCAATGGCTATGCAGTCATCCTCTCAATGTCTTAGTTTTCCGATCTGTTGAGTAGAACTATTGGCAGTCCCTACCCTGGAAAGCATGTGGTGAGGGTTTATTAAAACTAATAAGATTTTTTTAAATGCCCATTTCATAGTTTGCTTTCAGTAGGTCTTAGTTTGTTTCCTCTCTCTATGATTAGAAATTTCTAGAAGGTAGATACTGTGCTTTATTCATCCTTGTATCCCTACCTCCTAGTAGAGTAGTTCTTAACTTTTGGTGTCCATTTAGTATCACTTGTAGAACCCAGGGCGCATCTGCATTGAATAAAAATTCCCAGGCTCATAATTCTGCACAAGTTTGAAAATAACCTACTATTTAATTGATACCCAATAAGTACTTTCAAAGCGAACTCTTGGAAAACTGTTGACTTCCATTTATCAACAGTGACCACAACGTAACACATCACCATATACTTGTTTTTATTTTCTGCTTTCACTGATGGAAAGTTCAAATTCAGCTTTTCACAGTAAAATGGCTGCAAGGACTATGGAGCCTGCAATTGGGGCTTCGACATGGGCTTTAGGTTGTCATAGGTGAAGTCCGTATAGGGGTATTTTTACTATAAAGGCTATTATGCAGGCTAACCAGAGGATGTTATTTGACCAAGAGTTGGGAAGGCTCGGTATAATAAGAGTGTTGATTGTTATATTTAGTGTTCCTAGAAGATTTTGGGTATAAATAAGAGCGATGAGTAAGGGGAGGGATCCAATTAGTGTGTAAAATAAGAAATAAAGGCCGGCGTTTAGTCGTTCTGTTTGGTTTCCTCATCGTGTAATAATAATTAGTGTGGGGATTAAAGTCGCTTCGAATAGAATATAGAAGAAAATTAATTCTGTGGCTGTGAAAGTCATGATTAGAAAAGTTTGGAGTGTAATTAGCATGGAAATATATAGTTTTTTTCGTGTGAGTGGTTCTTTTGATAAATGGTTTTGGCTGGCTATAATTATCAAGGGAAGTAATCAGGTGGTCAAGATTAGTAGTGGTGATGATAAAGAGTCAGTAGAGAAGGTGGTTGAGAAGTTTGTACTAATATTGTGAAAATAGTTTAATAGAGAGAGTGTGGTGAAGATAATTACCAGACTGTGGGCTGTAGTATTAATTCAAATGGTATGTTTTTTAGAATATCATGTTAATGGAATTATTATAAGTGTTGGTAGAATGATTTTTAGCATTGTAAAAGGCTTAAGTTTTGTACATAATCCAGACCATATGTATTTGATACCATTACTAGTAGGGCTAGACCTACAGCGGCTTCACAGGCTGCGAAAACTAGGAGTATAATTGGAACTATATTAGCTAAGGTGAAGTGAAGATTTAGAATTGTTAATGAAGTTATGATAAATATTGAGAGTCTAGGCATAGTAGGGAAGATAAGAGATGTGAGCGATATATCAATATGCCTAGGAGTGATGTTAAAAAGCAAGGATAAGGTTAATATAGATGTATGGCATTTTGGTAATTATGCGTTGTGCATAGTCTAATGAGTCGAAATCATTTATTTTAGTTAAACTAATTACCATATTCAGTTCACTCAAGTCCTTTTTGGATTCACTCATATGCGAGGCCTAGGGCTAGAATAGTAATAAGGGCTAGGGCCATAGTTAGTATAAGGTTAAGGTTCGTTGTATGGATGGCTCAGGGAAGAGGAAGGAGAAGAGCAATTTCTAAGTCAAACAGGAGAAAAGTAATAGCAATTAGGAAGAATTTTATGGAGAATGGCAGGCGAGCTGATTCTGTTGGGTCAAAGCCACATTCATAGGGGCTGGATTTTTCTGTGTATATATTTAGTTGTGGGAGTCAGAATGCAATTGAAACCAGGAGTAGTGCGAGTGTTATATTCGTAATTAGGGATAAAATTAAATTAATTATTCCTTCCTGGGTTATACCAGGGCTAATTGATTGGAGGTCAATTGTACTAATTAATACTAAAGGGATAGGACCCTCATCAATAAATAGAGACGTATAAGAATAGTCAGACTACATCTACAAAATGTCAGTATCAGGCGGCGGCTTCAAATCCGAAATGATGGTTTGATGTAAAGTGGAATTTTAATTGTCGAAGGAAACAAATGGTTAGAAAAGTCGAACCAATGATAACATGGAGTCCGTGAAAGCCTGTGGCCATAAAGAAAGTTGACCCATAGACACTATCGGAGATGGTAAAAGATGTTTCAAAGTATTCTGATATTTGAAGCAGGGTAAAGTAAATGCCTAATATAATAGTAATTGATAGGGCTTGAAGTATTTGTTTACGATTGCCTTCTAGCAGGCTATGGTGGGCTCATGTAATGGAAACGCCTGAGGCCAGTAAGACGGATGTGTTTAGTAAGGGTACTTCTATAGGATTTAGGGGATAGATACCTGTTGGAGGTCAGCAGCCTCCTAGTTCGGGGGTTGGTGCTAGACTGGAGTGGTAAAAGGCTCAGAAGAAGCCTGCGAAGAAGAATACTTCTGAGATGATAAATAGGATTATGCCATATCGAAGACCTTTTTGTACAATTGATGTATGATGGGCCTTGAAAGGTTCCTTCTCGAATAATATCGCGCCATCACTGATATATGGTTAGTGTGTTTGTAGTA